GAAAGGAGCAGACAGAAGGAGGACACCTAAGAGACAGAAACACAACTCAAAAGAGCACAGGTGCACTATTTCATAGGTGGATTATGGTTATTGTAGTTCCCAATCACTCTTCAGTGCTTGGCAGGGTTAACTGCATTGCTGAGAGTCACCAGTTTCACCTGAACTGAATCCAGAACATGAACATACTTGGTGTTCTGTTTATTTACCGGGGCAGTTCTGCCTAAATATTAACATTGTAATATCAATACTGCATGGGAAACAGAGCTGTCTCCAAGTATCTTGGTTTCCAAGTGCTGACAAATCCAATTAGAAAAGTTTAATCGGCAGTACACAAAGGACAAGTTGAACTGCTGCCTCCAAAATATCTGCACCTCTCACTCTCCTTTACAAGCTTTTGTTGTGGTTGTACATTCTTGACTTGCGCTATTTTACCAAGTGTGCTTCTTTTTCCTGGCATAGATTACTAATATATAATATTTATATGAGAATTGAAACAACAATAATACATTCAGACCTAATCAGTTCTCCAAACACTTTGCATTTGTTCCATGTTTTGACATTCAGACAGCCAAATGAAATACACACATCATTTGCATTTTATTTTCTCCCCCATTTTAAAGGTTTGCCTAAAAGGAAACACAGACACTGTTCCCTCAGTATATTTTTGTTTTTGTTTATTGTTTGCCTTTTGTTTGTCTTGCACTCCCATCTTCTGCACAGTTTTCTGTCTTTCTTAGCTTATTTATTTATATTTTAAAAGTACTTTATTTTCTGTGTGATTTTTGTGTGATTTGTATATGTATATTTGTATTTTTTATGCACCAACGCACCAAGTCACATTCCCCGTAGGTGTTAAAACCTACTTGGCAATAAACAATTCTGATTCTGATTCTTATAAAAAGGTTTAAGAAAACACTCTCTCTATCATAGCACATGTGCATTTCTCTCTTTCATCCTTTAACTTTAAATCTTCAACGCTCTCAAATCTTTCACCCCTGTCTCCCTACGCTTTCCTCTCTTCATTTTTCCTCTTTTTTCTCTCCTCCCTCCAGGTACGCCAACGCAATGAGCTCGGCATCTACCTGATCAACCTGTCAGTGGCTGACCTCCTCTATATCACCACTCTTCCTCTGTGGATCGACTACTTCCTACAGCACGATGATTGGATTCACGGTCAGGAGAGCTGCAAGCTGTTCGGCTTCATCTTCTACACTAATATCTACGTCAGCATCGCCTTCCTCTGCTGTATATCACTGGACAGGTACCTGGCCGTGGCATATCCTCTGCGCTTTGCCAAGGTTCGACGAATCAAAACAGGTATGTACAATTCAGGATGGGCTTTTCTTCTGAAATAACATATCCATCCTAAAACCAATTCACACCAAAACTAATTATGGTACTGGCAGTTTAGTGTCCTTAATATCTTGTCCTTGCAATTTTGGCGTTCTTATTGATGAATCCAAAATAAGACATTTATTGAACGAAAAAGCAAGAGTCAGTACTTTCCAATCTGACCTCATCCTGTTTTTGCAGGGTAAAGATATTGCATTTGATGATGAGTTCCCCAAACTGTGCTACTGCTGAGCCCAGAGAGGATGTGCGTCTTCAAATCTGTCATTCCTTGACATAACAGGAAATTCAGTCTGTGTGGAGATAAGATCACTTCCATGTCAAAAGAAGTTTTTATAAATAACTAATTAAACGAGGATGTCTGCTAAAGTCATTACTTTTAATACAATGTGATGATATGTAACTTAAGCCCAGTTTATAAATGAGGCCCCAGACTAACTTCTCTGGAAATACAAAATAATGAAATGTAGGAATTTATTTTTTGGACACATTTGTGTGGAAACCCGTGATAGTGAGGCTCTGAAATACCATTCTAAAATATGCGGTATCCTCATGGACAGGATGGAGTTCCTTGAACATTTCACAGCATTAGTTCTCTGAGAGTCTCTTTCATATCCAAGCAAAACTGGTACTGTAACAGAAATATCCCTAATTGCATCAAAACTGAATCAAATCAAATCAGAAATCAATTGTGAATTGGAATCAAATTGATTCAATAAATCAGTGGTGGTGCCCAGTTCTTTTTTCTTGATGAAATAGGATTGAAAAAACATTGTTTTGATGTGTAATGGCAACACATTTCTACAGCTAGAGAATGTAAGAATTGCTTTAGGCCTACAACAATGACATATGATTTTCATTTACACTTTTCACTTTTGTCAAAGCCACAGAGAACCACTGGAAAGGGGCTAAAGAGCATCAGGCTGCTCTGGAGCCGCAGGGTGCTTCCCCTTGGGCTAGAGGAATGAAGGTCTAATATTTTTCTCTCCTCTTCTTTTCTCCCCTCTTCTGAAATTCCTGCAGCGGTCCTGGTGAGTGCCATGGTGTGGATCATTGAGATCGTAGCCAACTCCGCTCCTCTCTTTCACGATGAGCTCTTCCAGGATCGGTTCAACCACACCTTCTGCTTTGAGAAGTATCCCATGCAGGACTGGGTGGCAGGGATGAACCTCTACAGGACATTTCTGGGGTTCCTCGCTCCATGGACAGCCATGCTTGTTGCCTACCGCGGGATCCTCGCAGCAGTGCGCTGCAACGTCTCAACAGAGCGCCAGGAAAAGGCCAAAATTCAGCGGCTGGCGTTGAGTCTGATCCTGATTGTTTTGCTCTGCTTTGGACCGTACCACATCCTCCTTCTGGTGCGGAGTGTCATGTTTCTAAGGAAGCCTTGTGACTGCGGCTCAGAGGAGAGCTTGTTTGCAGCATACCATGTATCGCTGGCTCTGACGAGCCTCAACTGTGTTGCAGACCCCATTTTGTACTGTTTCGTCAATGAGGGGGCTAGACACGACGTCGGCCGAGCTCTCTCAGCTTTACTGTCAGCAGCTTGCCACAAAGGCTCCTCTTCCTCACCATCACACGCCGACATGCTCAACGCTGGTTCAGTGACTATGGAAACGCCCCTGTCAGCAAAGAAGCAGCCTTGTGTTTATGTCGATGGGGGCAAGACAAGCAGCTACAAGACAGAACTGGTGGCTCTAAAGGAGGAGTGTCTACAGATGACCATCCTCAGTGTTAGGAAGTGACCTCTACCCGGAGCGTACTGTAAGGGGTCCGAACTGCTCAGCTCAGTGCATAGAGGAAGATCCTAACACTGACAGCGTCTGATGTCTTCTGGTCTGACAGGCTGAAATCAGATGCATTTATCAGGCGATAGATGGCTGGGGATAAAATAAACAAGACATACGTCTGTAGCCACAATAGCAGCTTCTGTAAGATTGAAATGCTTACAAACCAGAAAACAGACTACTTCGCTGTTGTTACCTCCTTACCACTAGTGAGGACAGGTCATGTTGTAAATCAGAAGGACACTTCAGACAATTATTTGTAGCTGATTTGATTCTAACTTCAAGCTGTAGTTTGTCAGCCTCCACACAGCTGCACTGCATGGTTATATCAGCATGTTTAACATGCTATGTTATCATTATTTCCCATTAGTGCAGCTGAGGCTGACAAGGATTTAGTCATTAGCGGTATCCTCATGAAGTGAAGTGTTGGACTGGAGGAAATTTAGACCTGCTGGTGGTGCTAGTCAAGGGATCACCAAAGTCCTCAGGATTCAGCCTCAGTGGACCATGAATGTCTGTACCAAATCCTACGCCAATCCATCCAGTACATGTTGAGGTATTTCAGTCTGGACCAAAGTGTTGGACCAACAGATCGACAGACCTGTCAAGTCACTGGTGCGATTAATAAGGATCTTGTCAAACACAATTTGAGAACTTGACAATTTCCAACTGTTCTAGGAGTCATTTGCAATGCCTAGGAGGACATTCTTGAATATTTAAGTGGAATTATTTAAACAGACCACTCTCTGCATTGCTGCTTGTTGTTAGTGGCCTGAGAGGAGACACCTTTACATTCACACCCAACTGGACAGAGGGCAGATGTAGGAGATTGAGGTTTGACACCCAAATGCACCACTTTGGAATATGGAAGAAGAGCAGAAGGGTAATAAAACATATTGCAGATTACTGGTCAAAAACATTTTTAATGCTTGTTGGAAATGTCTGTTTAGTTTAGTTTTTTAAAGGAAATAATGAAGCCTTATGAAGTACCTCAGCTCGTAAACTGTGATAGCAAGAAGGCTTAGAGTTGAAGTGTCTCTTATATAATGTGAGTAATGTTTTCTTTTTCTTTCATTTTTACCACAGACAGCAAAATAATCAGAACCCACTCCACTCAGATGGCAGAGAAAATCATAAGACAAAGCCTTTTATTACATTCAGCTCAGTTTAAAAGTCAAATTGATCAGTTATTTCAACTACATCTTATTGAGAGCACTGTGGAGCAGAACAACAGTTTTACTGAAACTGTGTTGCCAGGCAACCGTCTCTCAACCTCTATGAATCCAACCTACATGCTTGGGCTTGGTAAAGGCTACCCACAGCTGACCTGATACTGTTTACATTCCTCTGTCAGACAGATGCCTTCTAACTTAACCCGTCCCAAACTTCCTAAATGATATACAGTGTAATGTCTTTTTTTCATTTTCAGCCTTTTGTTTCTTCAGATCTAACCATTTCCTCTAGAATGGCAAGATTTGTACATTCCTTCTTGATGCAAGCGACACTGCTGGCTGCTAACATTGTTATATTAGGCAAACAAAGAAACATTTCTCGATTATGTCAAACGTGTGATGAGGAAATTAAGAAATACTGGATGTGCAAAGCAAAAACCCCCAAACAACTGTGGCAGCATACAGAATAGCAATGTAACACTGATTGTTTTTAATGATTTATTTCAAAATCACTGATTAAAAATGTACAGTAAGCATGTCTCTCCTTTTGTATGTGAGGCTGATTGTTCTTAATGTAAAAATAACCAACATTATAATATGCCAACGCTGGATTAGCTGCCATATTTTGCCATATGTTGACTACTTTCTGGGGTCATTATGTCAAGCGAGAACTGTCAAGGACCTGGAAAAAACAATAAATCTTCAAAAAATGTTCATATGCTGCATATATTGATCTTCCTTTTGCTAGTTGGCAGCTTGTTTTTTATAGAAAATCCAACACAAAGTGACCAAACATAGTTTTTTTAGCATTCACAGCTGTTGGGATCCCAAAACTTAATGGCAGCTTCTACAACAGCGTGTTGAACTGTGTACATAAAGAAAATATAGGTGTTACTTAAAAAAAAAAACAGCTGTCAGAAAAGAGGCGTCTTCAACTTCTAAAATGTTTGTAGCTGTCAGGTTAATCTTGAACCTTAGTTGGCTGTTATGTGCAATCCAGAAATGATTTTTTACATTTTCTTTTACTGGTTTTGTGAATCAGTGGTAATAACATTTCAACAAATTGTGTGTTTACATTCAGAATGTCCTGCTGTATGTTCAGATATATAACACTGACATACAAACATTCTTTGTGTGGAGTATTATGACTCAAATAAGTACTCTCCGACAGACAGCAAGCGCCCATGTTGCAGTTCAACTGGTCAACAATTGCGTGTTAAGGATAAGTGTCTAGGTGATCCCACAAACACAATTTTTTATGTTGTCTTGGCATGAAAGCATTGCTCCGTTCAGTGCGATGATGTTAAGGCAGATTCTTTGGGCACAAACGCTGCTCTGTGTACCACTGCTTTGGTTGTGCATCTGTATGTCAGTCTGAGAGAGGAGGTACAAGGCTTCATAATGTGTATTCGTTCAGCAACAATGTCAGTGAGAAATAAATTATGCATACTAAACTTTGCATTCATGTGTTTGTTTGTTTGTTTGTTTGTTTGGCATGTACAAGCTGAAAAAGCTGCATGGAAGCAGCTGCTGGATGGAGGCGCCTTTTTAAATGGAAATTAATTGAAGGGGGTGGACTGTTTATCATCAGCATATCATCATATTGTCTTCTTTTTATGATAACATTGTACTGACAATGTACTAACATTGTTTAATGAGTTTTAAATAATTGGGATAGATAATATGGCTAAAATACTAACTATCTACCCACTCTTGCTTTGTAACTTTCTGAAACAGACAATTCAACAATCAAACACTTTTTAAGACCAGCGATTCGGTCAGGTATGGAAGGCAGAGTTCTGTTTTTTATTCTTCTCATGTGCTTGAAACTTGCTAGGCTGTGGCCATTCAGAACATCTACAAACACCTTTGGCTTTACATGGGTGGGATGACACATTATACAACATAGTTTGAAGCACACAGAGATCCTTAATATAACCAAACCTATATTAGTGAGGCAGCAGATCAGAAAACACTTGTGTGTTGTTCTAAGTAGAAATCTGCAACTGCTCCCAACAGACTTGACAAATCCAGACCGGGTTAACGCGCAGCACAGACTGCCTCTCGGAAGACATTTAAATTTTCCTATATATATATATTCCTGCAACACTGTAAGTATCCTCTGGTGACAGATCACTGTACTGACCAGCAGAGAGTAGGTCTGGGATGCTGCCAACACAAAGTCACCTTCTTCACTCTTCACTCTGTTCTGGACTCCCAGAGCTGTGCAGCTAATGAATCACATGAAGGACGTACTGAAGCATCTGTGCATGTGCCTATTTGCATATATTTCAATGAGCGTACTGCGTGTTATTGTGTGTTTATCTTTGACAATGTGTGTGTGTGTGTGTCCTTTCCATTGTTACCCGTACCCCAGAAGAAACCTTATATTTACGACCTGTCCTCATGGGGGTGGGCACATTTCCACAGTGTTATACAAGACAGGACAGTGTGTACATGTAGGCTGTGCATGTGAGAGAAAAGGGCGAAAGAACAGAGCGTGCAATAAAAAGACTGTATTGGTATAACATCCACAGAAGAGTGTAAATGTATGTTTTTTGTATATGTGCGTGTGTGTGAAAGAAAAAGAGGGGAAAAGAGTGCTCGCACATGACTTATGTTCTTGAGAAAGGAGAAAGGACATAACTCGCTCTCTCTCTCTGAGGGAACATTGTCTCTCGCCCTCTATGCTTCACTGGTCACCTCTGCTATAAGTCTATATATAGCAGCTCACCAGAGGCCATGCTGTCATTACCAAAAGCTCACCTGATTATTACAGTGATTTATTATCAGGTAAGGATACAGAAACCCCTCTGGGACATGGATGATTGTGCTGTTATTTTCTTGGGATATTCAGATTTATTTCTGGCCTGAGAGCAGTTCAGCAAATGAGGTAAAACTGGAGCATACAGTACAGCTGTACAGTATAAAGCAAGTAGGTGAGGAGGACAGTTACAGAGGGTGCTGGGATGCATTTTCAGTCTTTTCTTACAGCTCATTCAATTGAAACTAAATTAAATCTAAAATTCAGGAAGATAATTATTCAATCTCTTTCAGTTCATATGTAGCTGTAAAGTCTTTTATTCAAATAGTTAAATCAGACCCTTTTAAAGTTGTCTTTTTCACAGCTAGAGCAGAAAATGCTTTTATTTAACTCACATTAACTGACTTTATGATCACATGGGGGCATCAGAAACAAGCAGGAGCATTTCGCAGATTAATCAATCACAAAAACTGATCTGTATTTGCAGCTTTGAACATGGGTTTGTCTGTTTTATTCTTTACAGAAGCTTAATGAAATTAAAAAAACAGACACTGAAAAATGTTTAAAGATTACAGGTTATAGTTTTTCCATCATCGCAATATTTAAAGGAATTTAAGGAATCCTGCTTTCCTCTGCGTTGGTTAGTTAGATTATGCCTCTATGAAAAGTATTTGACTGAGCATACAATGGGTTTTCTTATCTCGCTGCTTAAGCATCCCTTCTCCTCTGTTAAAAACTATAACCACAGATTTAGATTGAATGCAAGTTTGTTTATTTGCGTTTGGGTTTGAAATAAAAGATAAAAATATACAATACCAAGAAGACTTACCTACTCATTAATGTGCCTCGCACAAAAATATTCTTTGAAAATACATAAATCCTTCACTCCTACAAAATTAACATAATGTAAATCTTAAATTACCTCTATGAATCAGTGGTGAGCTGTTTATGCCTCCTACAACTGTGACCAATGTGACCCAGAATCCATTTTTAAGATGCATGTTATAATCTAATTAGTAACTCATTCAGTCTTATTTCCATCCTGGCAGAGGAAGCAGGTCACCAGCCCCTGAACAGCGCAGACAAATGTACAACACAGTAAAAATAGACTCACGTTGCTTTTGGATGCAAACCATGTATCGTGATTTGTGCAGGAGTCCAGAACAAAAGCCCTAATTCTTGACTGACAAGCGTGTATGTTTTTTAAATGTTATCACATATTTGGAAAGGAGTTCAGGGTTCTTATGGGCTTATCAAAGACTTTGTAGAGAGACCATGTGAACCAAAAATCACCACAGTAAGAATCACACTTAGATGAAAACGGTTTTATAGACCAACAGATATAAGCTGTTTAGTTAATATGAATAGAGAGACTGATGGTAAGTTATGCTGAGTCGAATCTACTTTGTGTAGTCCTTCGCCTTCTTAATATTTAGAATGTTATAATCAGTGTTAAATTCACAAAGTTATCCTTTATGAAAAAAAACTTCCTAAATAGATTTCTTTTCCTCTTTTAATTTTAGAGGATTTTGGAAATTAGGTGCAACAGATTTAAGTTTTAATCAACCCCATGTGCAAGAAACGCTCTTAATTCTAATACACAGTGTATCTCTTAGCCCTTTTCTTACAGTTCCAGTTTTCCTTGCTTTTATCATATGAATCATTTATTATTCTCCATTTTGCATTTATTTGCACTTTTAATGTTTCTAATTGTCTTACTGTGTTCATTTTTATATTCTATGCTGCCTTGCTGCAAAACTAACTTAAATATCTCAACTGAAATGTTGAATGAATCTAGAAAACTCATGTGCCAGAGAGCGAGTATCATTGCTACTACTACTAGCTATTGTGCCACCAATCTAAGCTTTGGAATAACTGCATTGATTAATTAAATTTGGAGATAGTTTTGGTCAGATACATGTTTAAATAAATGTAAGGGTTATGGCAGGACTTCCTCCTCTGGCCATGTATGGTAGGATCTATAACAACACACTGAGCTGGTTTATCTCATCTGAATCAGGCGAGCTGGAGCTGCCTGTACACATCAGACGCTTCAAAACCATTCAGGAACTTCTCAATAAACTCCACCATATTTACTCAAATAATACACAACCAATATCCAGAGCCACTGCTCATTTGAAATACAAATTTAAGGCAGTTTCACAGATCCTTTAGGTTGTGGGGTTTGTATTCATAGTAAGTTGAAAGAGGTCAGAGAGGGAATTGCAAATGACCATCCATAATTCATGTGCTCTGAGACCTGATTGTGCGTCTCAACTTTTAAGGTCGAAACATTTGCATGATTGTGGGAATCTACAGGCGAGTGCTTTAAATATATGAACATTTGTGCCTCAATTTAGCTGTGTTTATTTAGCATTTAGCTAGTTTACTTAACTTTAACCCAGAGCAGCTCAAAGCAGATACCCTTAGCTGTTAAAATTACCCTCTTAACATGTTTTTGTCGAACAACCTTTTCCTCAGTCAGCTATTATTTCCTTGTTTTATGGAAAAAATATGATAATGCCATGCAAAGTATATTACCAACAACTGTTATTTGAAAAAGGATGTTGTATTATGTATTTGATGCAGTCAGTCACCATCATCAGCATCACAAACTGTTTGAGACAACAGCACCAAGAAGGAAGAAACAACAAATAGTCCTGTGTCTGCAGAAAAGGCAGAGATATATTTAAAGAGTGGATGCTTCAACAGAAAAGTCCAAAGCCTCAATATATTCTTGCTGATTGCAGCTATAAACAGACCCATGTCCATGACAAGGTGAAATTGCTTCAGTGAATTACAGTTTTCCCTCAAAGTATTGAGCGGTGAGTCACCCAGCAGCCACAATCTCAAAGATTCACAGGAGGTGGTATAATGTCCTCTATGTGTGTGTGTGTGTGTGTGTGTTTTTATTCAATCTTTGTGAGGACCAAGAGCTTGAATTTCTTTGTGAGGACTAACTCTTAACCCTTAAACAGCTCTGAACAGAAGTTAGGACTGGACCAAATGTCCTCACTTCTGTTTAGGGCTCTAGATATGGACGGTTTTTGCAAGTAGTTTCTCCTATGGGCTTACATGCCACTAAATCCAACATACTGGTCCTTCTTTAAGGACTTTAAAATACTACCACACTCTTAACCC